AAAGAGACAGAAAAGTGCAGTTGAGGCAGTCAAATGACTGTAAGTACCTTTGTGAGCCAGTCAAAATTAAGAACATTCATGAAATGAATTTGTGACATACTCATAGAATAATTATTGTTAAAAATCAGTTAGATTAACAACTTCTAATATATAGAAACGTTTTGGTAACACTGCGTTCTAACAATGGCTTTTATGTATAACCTAATATTGTTGTTAGTCTATGTACTGAAAGTATAAAATGTATTGACAACAAAACAGGAAAAATATATTTTGATTTCTTAATTTAGGGTCTCTGTTGATTAAGAGGTTTTTAAAAAAAAACATTGGTAATATAACAGAAAATATCTTAATTTAACAATTTAAGTTTAAAATTGAATCAACATTTTTAATTTCATGATAAATTTTATGCACTTGGCTCTAGGCTAGATGATCCCAACACTCACTACACTTATAAGGTTTCATGGCTCCCTTGCACCCTGTCACTAAAATCGTAATGGGCAGACAGTAATTGAATTATTTTATCTGGATAAATGCATTTTGGCTTTTATGACTCCTCCTATTTCCAGAAATCAAGCATGATGTGACATGACACACACACACTCACACTGGCTTTTATATAGGTTAGATACACGTACACACACCTGCTACACTGGAAGTAGTCTTCCCTCCTGTCAACTTAAACAACTTTAGTTCTTTTGTAAACCAAAGGTCTTCTGCCTCATGTACTGCAGGATGGAGAACCGTTACTTGGACACCATGATTTGCAAGATGGCGGCCACAGTTTACAGCTTGTGCTCCCTGCTGATGTGACGTGCATATCACAACTGCTGTGGGTCTCTGATGGGAGTTCTGTGGGTTCAACCTGTATGTAAAAATGACATTGAGAAATGTCGCATAGGTGCTGGTTTTATTTATTAATGTACAAGAGTAAAATTCAGCAGTCCTATTTTTATTAATTTGCACCTGGCAAAGTTAAATAGTGAAAATATTCTTAAGTGTGTCCTCACTGATCATAATATGTTCTAAACTGAGAACTTTAACAACTATATATTCTTTAGTTTTATGCTAATATACAACTAATGACTGTAATGTCACCTACACCAGCACACCTACGTCGGATTTAAAAATGTTTACTCATGAATATACAAAAGTACCAAACCAGTACTGAAAGCTCATTTCACGCATCCATGTTTTAATCATATTTTTCTCATCATCTTCGTGTAATTTAGTGAATTTTTATACACAAAGTTATTATGTATTAATATGCCTTATGTTCTTACTATCACACCTACATAACAGCAGTATGTGTAGGTTCTACAATGTCCACACAATATACATAACTATTGTCTTTGTGTTTGTTTTTCTGATGAAATTTTGATTTCTAACTTATTCTCAAGTCCTTCCTGATGTAATGCAGTTGTTGTTTTGATCTGCACCAAAATAATGAGGTAATTATGTTTAAAATTAACACGAACAAATATAGTTATGTCAAAACATGTTACAAAAAAGGAAGAGACGTGTACTGTTTCAGTAGATAATTAAACAAGATTGTATGTCCCGTACTGATGTATTCATACAACAAATATTTTAATAAGTTACAGACAACTTGCTGCATTCTGATATTTTAGAAAAATTATGGTACTTCTCTACCAGTGCCTCTCTAAATCAAGTTGCTTCCAAAGAAGTGAATAAAAATTTGATAACAAAAGAAATTTTATTTCTCTTCATATCAACTTTTTCCTTCATTTTCTCTTGTCATAAATTTTAAGTAAGCTATATACAAACTTTTAAATAAAAACCAGCATATTTATTGCAAGATCATTTCAAATAAATCTTTTATTGTTACAGGTAATCCTATGCAAGAAGCTTTCCAAAGTTTAAATGGTTCATAATATTTTTATTATAGGAGGTAAACCTCACATGTTTAGTCCTATGTGTACATCAAGAAGTGTGTGTGTGTATATATGTATGTATATATATGCATTTAAGGATATCTTTTTGCAAAATCCATTTCAACACATGTGATTATATTTAAACTATTTTCTAAAGTATAGAGGTTGAGTACATTATATTAAAACTAGTATAAAAGCCCGTCAAAAATGATTGGAAACCATTGTTGAATTATGAACGAAAATTATAGAATTTAACTAAAACAAATTTGTCTGTATCTCCAAATGCACCTACTCATCACTTATTTCATCACCACATATTTAGTAAAAACTATGCAGAAAATAAATGAAATGTTATCGTAAACAAAAGTAGGTGTGCGCTCTGAAAAGAGACTGAAATAGCACTCTTGAACCTTTTTCATTGTATTCTAGGTCAGGAAGTAGAAAGCATAGTGCGGAAATTCTGACACAAATTTTGAACTGTACAGAGGATAAAAGATATTTGGTAGTAATAAACGTTTAACATATTTCGCTCTTTAATAGCAATAAGCAAGCACTTGACACTGATACACACACTCACGTTATCCGATTAATATACTGTACAAGAAATGTATGTTAATAAACTCAAATAAATATAGAAACTCTTCATGATACTTTTGTGTAGGAAAAGGGGGTAGAAGAAAAAATTGTGATAAAATATTTTACACTTCAATCAGTACATCCAGTTAACTTTAAATTTCAAAACATACTCTTCATACAGTTTTTCAGGAAGGTATTTTTATTTATAAACTTTGTCATATTAAAGACAGAATGCTTTCATAACATTCTATAATGATTTATGAATACTAGTTGCCACAATGTCACTGAACTTATGTGTATGTTTTACAAAACAGTATCTCTCCATCATTATGAGTGATTTACAAGTATACTATGTACCTGATAGGCAAACATAAAAACAAGACAGGACAGTTACAAGATTATCCATTAACATTATTTATGATGGTTACAGAATCTATAGTAACCACAATAGTATCTCAAAATCTGTTTAAACAACAGAAATACATGCTTTTTTAGATGGTTTAAGCAGAGTATTCATGATAAAACAAAATGAAATGTGTGACAATTGTAAAGAAGACCTTGGAGGTCAAAAGTTCTACAAAGGTAGCAAAAGAAGAGTGAATGACATTGTAAAAAGCCTTCTCTCTTTTGTCTTCAGCTCAGATTGGCATGTACTGCAGGTGTGGGAGGAGAATATATTGTCCGGAAGGACTAAGAATGGGGTGTTGTGATTGGTTGGTTGTTCTTAGTCATGGTTAATGGAATACATAAGTGCTGATCAATGGTAGCCACAAATTGTTGGTCTCTTTCCATTCTTGTCTTAAAATATCTTCCAGTTCCTACACTGTAGGTCTGTTTTCAGGAACATGGTATGTCATAAACAATGTTTCTGTGTTTATCATGAATCATTTGTTTTGGCAAGGATAGATCAGAGCTCTGTGAGGTTTCCAGTAGATGTCAACACATTTGAAACAGTGTTATGGTGGTTTTTAAGCTATTGGATGAAATTGGAAGTGTAGCCATTTTATTTAAAACATAGAACTGTAAGATGTTTTGGAGCAAGAATGAAAACAACAAAGAGTGATCAAGACTTTGAAACCACAGAATTACTTCATTGCAGAACATGCAGTATTAATGGAACAATTACAATCTCACATCACTTTTGGAAAGCAAGGAAAACCAAGGAACCTTTCTATAACAACATACTGAAACCCTCATTATACAGAGACTCAGGCATAAAAAACAGGAGTTTATACCCATGATTGATCTTCACGTGTTTCACCAACCAGTCACAATACTCCCATCTCAATCCACCCAAACATTATCTAAACCTCCCACAGCTTGTGTTAAAGTGACCTGAAGATGAAAATCAGCCCATTCTATTTATGCTACCATTGTAAATTCTCCAAGGTCTTCTCAACAACTATTGCCCCAAACCAGAGAGCTGTAACCCAACTCATCTTCATGTTGTTTCAACAGAAAGATGATCTCCACTAGTATTCAACAGAAAGACGACCACCACTAGTATTCAACAGAAAGACGACCTCCACTAGTATTCAACAGAAAGACGACCTCCACTAGTATTCAACAGAAAGAAGACCTCCACTAGTATTCAACAGAAAGATGACTGCCACTAGTATTCAACAGAAAGATGACTGCCACTAGTATTCAACAGAAAGACAACCACCACTAGTATTCAATAGAAAGACAACCACCACTAGTATTCAATGGAAAGGCAACCACCACTAGTATTCAATGGAAAGGCAACCACCACTAGTATTCAATGGAAAGACAACCACCACTAGTATTCAACAGAAAGATGACAACCACTGCTACTATTGAACAGAGAGACAACCACCACTTTGTCTCCTTTTCTTTCAACAGGCAGTTGCAGTCAATTAAAGTTCTCAAACCTTCTATGTCTACTCTGCCTAAAATTCCATTGTAATTCTTTACTCTTTATATTTAATTATAATATTTACTATACCTTTTTTAATCATTTCTCAGCTATTTTGTGCTGTACCTGTAATAAAAATGGTACCAGTTATAAAAGGTCATTAATTATTTTTTCTTGTATTAAATACCAGGTGGCTTAAATGTCAGACTTCATTGATGTAGTATGTTCTCTGTATTTCTCTACATAAAAGAGTGGTCTACCTTTAGCTTTTCATTACTCTACTTCCATAATATGAAACATTTTAGACTAGTTGGTCAATAAAATAGCTCTATCAATACTTCAATTTAGTACCTGTGGACTAGTTGATTTATACCAAGGCAATAACAAAAAATTGGAAGTGCACGTGTTGTACTCGGAATGATTATTATTATTATTGATTTTTTTTACCTGTGATTGCCCCCAGCCAATTGGAGGACCATCTCACTAGCAGCTCGCCCAGCCATCTCCAGTCTTCTTTCAGTTGAGAAACCAAAGCGGTCAGATGCCTCTATTAACCGTGATCGCAGCTCTTTGGATATACTTGGTACCACCAAGCCAGTATCTAAACAATGTTCCAAACATACAACAATCAAGTACACTATTAAAACAACAGGACCATTTTATTTAAAACACAATCTCTGAAAAGCAGAGAATGTTGACGATCAGGTATATTATTCAAATAGAAATAATCTCTGTAAGGTAGGGCAATATGTTGACAATAAGGTAAACTATTCAAACAACAGGAACAATCTGTAAAGTAAAACAATATGCTGACAATAAGGTAAACTATTCAAACAACAGGAACAATCTGTAAAGCAAAACAATATGTTGACAATAAGGTAAACTATTCAAACAACAGGAACAATCTGTAAAGTAAAACAATATGTTGACGATAAGGTAAACTATTCAAACAACAGGAACAATCTGTAAAGTAAAACAATACGTTGACAATAAGGTAAACTATTCAAACAACAGGAACAATCTGTTAAGTAGTAGAATATGTTGACAATAAAGTAAACTATTCAAATAACAGAAACAACCACAGTAAGGTAGAAGAATATGTCGATAATAAAGGACATTATTCATATGACAGAAATAACTACTGTAAAGAACAATATGCTGACAAAATCTTCTGGATTACAGATTTCATACAAATGCTTCATACGTGTCATTGACATGTCTTACAAAACACAATACTACAACTATTACTGCATACATCGATTCATAAATTACTTCTAAGATTCATCTAACCTTGTACTGACTTATCCCAAATAGTTCTGTCATCCAATTATGTTAAAAAATTCTAGTTTCATACATAATTAAAACTTACTGAATCATGACAAATGATGAGAATGATTATCCAACATTTCTCAGGCCTAAAATTAGCCAAATTATATGTAAAATCCAAGCTTTTAACATTGTACAAAAGGCACTACAACCAGATGTTTAAATTTAAAAGCATACTTTTGCCCTAGTGACTGTATTTTTCAGAAGTATATTTTACAACAACATTCATTCTAAACAGAATTAGGGACACCCTGTCTAGCCTTTGAAATTCCTTGTAGAAAACAAAGAACAATGGAAGTGGCACATTTTAAATAAATGGTCTCTTATTTGCTTTCCCAATTATATCTACCTATGCACAGACTATGCTTGCCAACCACAATGCTTTGGTCTTGAGTAAAGATGGTTACCTATCAACGAGTAAGTTCCCAACAAAAACAAGCTTAACAATGAAAGCGATGAAATTTGAGTAAATAAAAACACATCTACATGTAATTCTAAACTTACTGATAGTAGTAGATATTAAAATATTTCAATTTAGTCTAAGTTAGTTATTAATGTGTGATCTTAAAGAAGTAATTAATGCAGTTAAAATTAAGATGAATTGTGATTCACAGTAAAAAATCATTGAAAAAACTTCAAGTTAAAAAATAAGCTTTACTTTTGTTAACATATGTGGAATGACATTTCTTATTTATAATCACAACGTTATTACACACATTTAGTGGTGAAACTTTATTAACTGATTACAATATAACTCTATAGGTAGATCTACATTAATTCGGTAATTCCTGAACAGATTTTCTTCCAATGAAATCCTACCTCATCATTAGTGATTGAGTCAGAAGTAATTTTTGACCAATCAACAGCGCAAGTCATTTACTCTTCAAGTAAACAATTAATTTGTCTTCACTGGTTTAAAAATTACTATTAAATTTTTACTTTTGGTCTATTAATTTTTAATTTCTAACAGTGACTCCATATTCTTAATTATCTTTACCTTTCTCTAATGTTTCTGCCATCATTCACTACAAATGAACTCAAAACACCAACTTTGCTCACATAATACACAAGTGAATCCCCAATAAATCCTACTGACAAAGTCCTTTTTCACTCTGGACAAATTTGTTTAAATAGTTCTTGAAAAACAATCACCAAAGTACTATGATTATATACGAGTCCATAGTTTTTAAGTGCTTGTCACCCCAGTTTGCTATGACAGTAGGAACTCCAGATCATTGACCATATGTAAAATGGATACATGGAAGCCTACTGTTGGAGAAGCACTATATGTAAACTAATATGGTCTAAGATACATGAAGGTCTATTGTTGGAGTAACACTGTATGTAAATTAATATGGTCTAGAATACATGAAGGCTTATTGTGAGAGTAACACTATGTAAATTAAGATGGTCTAGAATACATGAAGGCCTATTGTTGAAGTAGCACTATATGTAAAATAATATGGTTTAGGATACATAAAGGCCTATTGTTGGAGTAGCACTTTATGTAAAATAATACAGTCTAGGATACATAAAGGCCTATTGTTGAAGTAGCACTGTATGTAAAATAATAAAACCCGGATTCTAGCATTGTAAGTCCGCAGACATACTGCTGTGCTACTGGAGGGCCCTATTACTGGAGTAGCACCATATGTAAAATAATATGGTCTAGTATACACAGAGACCTATTATTGGTTTGTTTGTAATTAAGCACAAAGCTACACAATGGGCTACCTGTGCTCTGCCCACCACGGGTATCAAAACCCGGATTCTAGCGTTGTAAGTCCGCAGACATACCACTGTGCTACTGAGAAGCCCTATTACTGGAGTAATACCATATGTAAAATAATATGGTCTAAGATATGTGGAGGCCTATTGTTGGAGTTGGATAATCATTTCTGCTAAGTTTCAATTCATAATATAAATTTTGATGAGCTGGCAATTTTAAAGTTGAAAAAATTTTCAATACATAAAGGTCTTTTACATTAATAAATATTGACAATGAATAATGCAGGTATTTCATATCCATTTACAAATATTTGTTTTAATCAAACCATGCCTATAAAAAGAATTTTAAGGATCAAGAAATTGACTAGTCTTGCCAAACTCTTAATAAATTAGATTAATTTTAAGGGGTGTTTCAAACAAAATTTGCTACTTTTCTAGCATTATGTGTTTTCACTTTACCTTTACAAGTACATTGTACTTTCTGCCTTTCTAAAGAACAAGTTAAATGATAAAAAGTACAAGATTATATGTCATTACTGCTTCACTCGGTTCCTCAGAAAGTCATAGAAAGAAAATTTCACAAAAAAACATTTGCTTAATAAAGAATATAAGTACACAATTAGAGCTGGGCAATTAATGGAAGTTGTTAATTGATTAACAAAGGCCCCATTAATTGATTACATTTGATTAAACAATTAGTACAGTTGCCTTCCCTCTAGTCATCAATTCAAAAGAAAAAAAAAAAAACAAGAGAGAAAAAGAGTGGTGGCTGGTGCTGCCAGAAAGTTTCCTCCCTCTAGTCTGCAGTTCAAAGTTAATGACAGGTTGCAAATAGTTTTAGCAGATTTGCCATAACAAAGACAGGGCAAGTAAGATTGGTGGCAGTGGGAAACAAATCAGATGCCCCAAATCACTAAAGCTGAACAACACGGAAGTAAAAAAAAAAACAATAATTTACGAGACTAAAATTGGGTAGAGCAGAAACAGCCCATTATGTAGCTTTTTGCTTAATAATGAACAAACAATGTAGCAATATTTCAATTACTTAGCTAGTTGGAATAATCAAAAACAATAATAATTAAAAACCCTAATTTTGATTAGTTGATTAATTTAATCCTAATTTCAATTGACTGATTATTTTCATGACAGTTGCTATAATCAATATTTGGGGTAATCGATTGTTGGAATTATCATAAACAGTAATAATCAGGAACATTAATTTTGATTAAATGATTTCACTGTAATTTTGATTGATTAATTAAATCATTATTTTGATGAATTGAATACACTGATTAATCAATTAAATTGTCCAGCTCTATACACAATACCAGTACATTATGATATTGAACTGTTTTAACACACAAGTTTTCTTAGAAGCACAATTGTTTTAATAGTCTATTAAGTATGACTGATAGGAAGTTAACAAATTGAAGACTTCAAATAATGAAAACTTTATCCTACCTGTAACATATTCTTTTTCAACCACACAAGGTACAGTTATCTCTCTATATGTAACTGGTTCACTCAAAAGAACATTTTCATCACATCTGTACTTGGCTGTCTGACGTCTGTTAATGTCAACAAGGCGAACAACATCAGGTTTTGAATGTGCTTCAATCTCTTCAAAAATAGCTTGTTTATCAAATAAAGCTAAATTTTTCTCAAAGTCAAACTCATGCTCCAAAATATAGCTGTCTACAGGAGCACTAAAACATGCTTCATCTCGTTCAGTAAGCCGTTTTTTTCCTTCTATCTTTTTTGGTGTCGTTATTTTTTTACGTCCATCACCTGGAATAAGGATATGGTAGTTTTATCAGTCTTTTACATAATTGGAGCATCTAAAAATACCAACAACAAACAGCTAATTACTGTTAAATATTAAATAAGAAACAGCAAATGTATGATGAGACTTTCACTAAACCACTGTCAAAAATCAAAACATAACAAAGCCACTCTTAATCCAACTATAAAAAATCATAAAAGGTCCAAAGAAGCAACAATGGAAATATACATCTTGGAAATATTTAGTTTAAATAATATAACCTGCTTCACATACTAAATTAAGTCAGAGATAAATTTGGCTACTTTTTATGCCAATCATTATCTGCCGTTCAATATTTAAAACTGACGCACTGCATAGTAACAGATTCATAAGTTATATTATCAGGAGTATTGAGACTCCACACCCCAGGTCAGTAATGGACTCCTCTGCACTGAACCTGCATGCAAATAATGACCCTCTGATGCACTTCTGTGCAAAGTTTATAAAGGTCAGCAACTGCTACATGCAACAAGCTCAAGTAAAGATACATAAGAAGAGTTCACTAACCTTTAAAGAAAATTGGTTATTTGATATAACAGGTGGCAAAACTTTAATGAGAGTTTAGAGATACAGGATAATGTATTCACAGTGTACAGGGAGTTCCATGCTGCTCAGTTTCAAAGATATACCTCAACATATGTCATTCATCACAAACTTAGAAGCAAAATGCTAGCTTTCATGATGTGTGGAATGTCAAAACTGCTGTGAAAAACACTAAAAAATCATCTATGAAGTGATGAACCCTAATACTCATTTTATTTACAGAGTGATGAATCTCTGATGGAAGTCTAACAAAAAAACTGCTTTAGATATCAGTATTAAAGTTAACCCTTGACAGACAGAACATGGGTGAAAGGTCATGTCATCTCATTTGTTGACTCGCATTCAAACTTTTATTATGAATTTATGTCAATAACTTTGGTATCAAACTGTAGATTATAATTCAAATTTTAGTATTATATATTAATCAATTTCTTAATTTAAAAGCAAATATTAAAAAAAAACAGATAAACATTGATTTTTGTGTGTCAAGTGGTATGTTGAATGCAGCACTGGTTCCAATTAGATGTTTGTGAAGTCCAAATACTAAGTCTGTAGTTTCTTACGAATTAGAAACTCAAAGTACCGATATTGACAAGCTAGAATATAAAATAAGGGCCTCGTATCTTTTCAATTTGCTAAGATATTGCTCATGTAATAAATCAAACACAGTAGCACCCTGCCCACCTCTTCCATTTTTGGAAATGCTCCCTTTTATACACTTACCTCTATATATGTCAGGAATAACCAATCGAAAGCTCAGAATGTCCCCCTAGTGGCTTTATCATCTATTTTAATGGATTTGGTGCCATTTCTTTCTTTTGAACCAATATTTCAACAAGGTCGGGTGCATCTTTAGTCTGCTCAAAATTTTATATTTTTTTAGACTAAAATACATCTTAGTTACTAAGCTTGATAAATTATAATGGAATTATATGGTATTAATGTAGTAATTTATGATATTTTTAGTTATTCAAATGTATATATAACCCCCCCCAAAATTTTTTTTTCATATCCTCCACATGCAAAATCAAGCAGTAAACGAGTACAAAGGTCGTAACTAGAAGATATAATTGTTTGCTTAACTTCTTTATTTACTGTTCTTTGTTTTAAGGAAA